TTTCAAACTTGGGTGAAAATACTTGCAACAGTTTACTGGTAAGGTGACTGTTTCTTTCACCTTCCTGCAGCTGTTGCATGCCAAGTTTTTTTTATGTGTGGAAACACTTCAAAATTGAATTAAAGGCTGGGCATGGAGGCATGTGCCTGTCATCCCAGCACTGGGGAGGCTGAGGCAGGAGAATGGCTGTGAGTTCAAGGCCAGCCTGGGCTACAAAGTGAGTTCAAGGCCAGTCTGAACTGTACAGTGAGACCCTGGCTCAAAAAGACCAACAAAATATTGAATTGAAATATGAAAATTTAAAATTTGATTGTGTAATATGCCCCTGATTCAGTAAATAAACAATTCTTTTTAAAAACATTCAGTGTTATGTGTTTTATATATGAACAATGGTTCACCCACTTCTTTTTCCTCGTTGGTGCCGGGAATGCACCTCTGCCAGCCAGGTGCTGCGCTGTATCCCTGCCCTTAGCTCATCTGTTATCCAGCTTTGTGAAATCTGGGTTGAGACATTTCCATGTTGCGTGTAATTACACCTACTATCAGTGAGGGCAGTGAGCAGGAACCCGATTGTAGTTGCCTTTTTTTTTTTAGACTGGACGCCCTTGTGGTTACTTTTGTAGCCCCCAGGCCAGTCTTGAGCTTGCCATGATCCTCCTGTCTTAACCTCCTGCGTGCACCACCACGCCCACTTCCTCAGGGCTCTGGGGCTGAGTAGCAGCATGTGGGGCTGGGGATTGAGCTCGAGACCTTGTGCTTGCCAGGTAGGTGCTTGTGCTTGTGAACTATCTCTCCAGCCTCTTATTTATTTTTTTAGTTTGGAAAAAAACGGTGATTTCGTGTAACTGAACCATTTTGTTTGTGGATGTGGGAAATTGACTTGAATAGGTGCATTGCTCAAGGCCGGGTAGGGCACATGGTGGAGCCCGGCCTCTTCTGTAAGGCCTGCCCTCCCTTACCCTGAGGCCCGTTAGGAAGCGGTATGGGAAATACGGGAGCAGGCTTGGAAAAGGGCTGAAGACTAGAAAACTAGCAGAGGGGCAAGAGACCAACAGCCGAGCAGTTAGTTTCCCCGGCCCTTGCTTCCCAGCTGTCGGGAAGAGTGCTGATCCTTCCCGCCAGTGTTTCAGGCTTCATCTTTGCGTTTGAGGTGGCGGCAGTCTGCCTCAGTACTGTTTCTTCCTCCCATTGATTCAACTCACATTTGAGCCTGTAGGCTACAGTTACAGTAAATGCAACACCTCACTGTTGAGCGCTTAGTGCCCAGAGAGGCTGAGACCTACGTCGTGCGTCCAGGAGTAAACGCCCTGGTGCGAACATAAAACAGCAACTGGAAAGGACAGCCATCACCTGAGACGTTGGAAAGCGAAGGCGCGGCTGGGTTTGGTGGCGCACACCTGTCATCCCAGCACCCAGGAGGTGGGGCAGGAGGTTCGCTGTGAGTTGGTGGCCTGTCTAAGCAAACAACAAGAGTGAAAGATGTGGGGGAGCGAGGCACGCACGCTTCAGGAGGGCATTTCTCCCGAGCCCAGTGCCAGCGAACGTGTGGGTGACCAACGGGGGCTGGGAAGGCTTCTGCATGAGGACTCCGGGCGCGGCTCCCCGAAAGAAGGCCGATGTTCACATCTGCCGGGCGCTGGGTCCTCGCGGTGCGCTGTCCCGCGTCTTCGGCCCCCGGGACCTCCGCACGTGGAGCTGCGCTGCCACCTGCCTCCAACCAGTGCAGGACATGCGAGAGGCGGCAGTCTCTCCTGCGGAAATGGCTGGTCAGCGTTTCGGAAAGGCGGCTGCAGCCAGAGCGGGAGAACGCGGGGCTGCGGTCCCAGTGCTTTCCGCTGTCGCGCGGTGACCTTTCTCGCACGGGGGCGGGAAGACCAGCCCGAGCCGGCGCCCGCCCGGGAACCTCACCTCTCGGGCGCGGTTTCCGGCAGGATGCGGGCGCTCCCGGAAGCGGAAGTGCTGGCTGAGTTACAGTGGTGGCGTTCCGGTGCGGCGGAGGTAGCGGAGAGTGCCATGGAGCACGTGACTGAGGGCTCGTGGGAGTCGCTCCCGGTGCAGCTGCACCCGCGGGTACTGGATACCCTGAGGGAGCTGGGTTTCCCGCACATGACGCCGGTGCAGGTACCTGACCGCGGCCGGAAGGGGAGCGAGGCCGGGAGCCGGGCGGGCGCTTGTTTCGTGGGTGGCGGTCTGTAGGTGACGAGCCAGGACGCGAAGCCTGGGGTGCTGCTCCCGCCAAGCCGCAGCCGTGGCCACGTCTCCAGCGGCCGAACCCGGTCGTGGTTCGGATCCTGGCCCTGCCCGCTGTCGCCGGGAGACCTCAAAGACTTTTATTTATTTATTTATTTAGTGTGTGCGCGGCCAGCTCAGCCCACCAGGGGGCGGGCCGGCTGGCAAGTGGTGCTGGGGGATTGAACCGCGGTCCCTGTGCTTTGCTAAGCTTGTTCCAAGTAGGTGCTTTAGACCCCCGAGCCATCTCACCAGCCCTCAAAGACTTTTTAACCTCTCTGTGCTTCATGTTCCGTCACAGAAACGATGACAGCATTCCCGGCCGCACAGGGAATTAGATAAGACAGGGTGGGCGCACCGTGGAAGCCCAATAAATTAAGTGGGGAAAGCAGCGAGGCGTCCTGGTCCCACTTACTCGGGAAGCGTTTATTGAGCAGCTGATGTGTAGCGAGTGATGTAGACTCCGCGGATTTTGTGGTCTCGGGACCTAGGGCTGAGCCTTGTTTCTAGAGCCGGAGCTACCTACCAGGAGGAATGCTGTCGTCTCTCCTGGTACTGAGAGGGGAAGCACTCGGAGACGGACGTGATTCATGGGCGCGTTGGCGGGGCGCCTCCACCGGTGGGTGTCACGGAGCTGAGCCTCTGGGATGGTGGTGGGCGGAGAGAAAAGCCATTCTCACGCCTCGGGGTCCACTGGAGATGAGCTTGGCGCCGGAAGAGACCTGAATGATACAAGAGGGGGCAGAAAGAAGCCAGGGCTGGGTCCTGCGCGGCCTCCGGTTTGGCTCTGAGTGGGAGCCCTCTGGGGTGGTAGGAAGGGCAGCGGTGCCCCAGCGCGTGGAGAGGATGCATTGTGGAGGGAGAAGAGAAGCAAGGGGGCAGCCACTGTCACCGGAGATGACGTCAGGCCGAAGTAGGGTGGGAGCAGTGCCTACCTAGGGAGACAGCAGATCCAGGGTCGCCAGGGGCTGGAGTGGGGTTAGGGAAGAGGGATCTAGAGGGATGGAGGGTACTTAGCTGTGATCCTCTACCAAGATGAGGGGAGGCTGCCTTTTTATTTTTATTTTTGGCGGAACTGGGGATTGAACTCAGGCCCTTGATTCTACTCAGTTATCTCCCTGGCCCGCTTATTTTGGATTTTTTTTTTTTTTTTTTTGAGAGTTCTGTTTCAGAATGCTGAGTTTGAGATGTCCCTGTGGTCCCCAGTGGGATAGGAAGGGGGACCAGTCAGGGTTGGGGTAAAAACTGGGAGCACTGTGTATCAGGCTTTGGGAATGTCGTGCACACAGCATTCCTAGGGCTTGGTGTCTGCAGTTGCCTGGCCAACACCCTTGGCCCTAGATGTGTCCATATGAGGTAGATGTGCTACCTCACCCACCAGTGCTACAAGTAACTTTTATTTTTTTTTATTATTTTTTGTTTTATTTATTTATTGTTTTTGGTGGAACCGGGGATTGAACTCAGGCCTTTGTGCTTGCCAGGGAAGCGCTTATTCCACTGAGCCATCTCCCTGGCCCTACAAGTAACTTTTAAAGGAATGGAAAAAGCCATATACAGTGACATGTGCCTGCAGTCTTGGTGCTCTGGAGGCAGAGGCAGGAGGACTGTAAATTCAAGGCCAGCTTGGCATATAATAGGTGTTTGAGACCAGTCTGGGATACAGAGTGAAATTCTGTCTTGTAACTAAAACCAAAGGGCTGGGTATGTAGTTCAGTGGCATAGTGGCTGCCTGGCAAGTTCAAGGTCCTGAATTCGATTCCCAGTACCAACAAAATAAAACCAAAGAAAAAGAAAAAAGAAAATATCTCATTAATTATATAATATTGATTAAATGTTGAAGTTTTATATATATATTGTATTTATGACAGGGTGTACATGGTATACAGGGTCTCACTGTGTAGATCAGACTCAAATGATCATCCTGTTTATAGCCTCCCACGTGCTGGGATTACAGGTGTGTCACACCATGGCGCAGTCAGTGGGCCCTGGGGGCGGGGCTGGTCCCAGCCCCTGTGTCTGCCTAAGCTGAGCTATTTGGCATCCTTTTTATTTTATTTTTGATACAGGGTCCTGCTACTGACTTGTAGTGATCCACCTGGCTTAGCCTCCCCAGCACTGGGATTACAATATGTACCTCAATGCTCAGTTTTGGGGCCGGCATGGCCTGTAGTACTGGGAACCAAACTCAGAACCTTGTGCTTGCCAGGCAGGTGCTTAGGCTGACAAGCTATCTCCCCAGCCCAAAGTAACAATATTTTCAATGTATTGGGTTAACTAAGAAGAATGTGTGCAGTGTGTTAATTATTGAAACTGTCCTACCGATTTGATTTGAAACTGTCTCATTGCTATTTGTTTATCAATAAAATTATGGAAAAAATTTTTTTTTAAATTTTATTTGTGTGTGTGTGTGTGTGTGTGTGGCCAGCTCAGCCCACCAGGGGGCGGGGCTGGTTGGCATGTGGTGCTGGGGGATTCAACCGCAGTCCCCATGCTTTGCTTGGCTTGTTCTAAGTAGGTGCTTTAGACCACTGAGCCATCTCAACAGCCCCCTATGGAAAAAAATTTTTAAAAATTAAAAAAATATATTGGGTTAAATAACATTATTACAATTTCATTTGCTTTTTTTTTATAGCTACTATACTTTTTTTTTTTTTGAGACTGCGTCTCACTATGCAGCCCAGCTGGGCTTGAACCTGGGGCAGTCCTCCTGCTACTGGGCAGTTCTCATGCTTCAGCCTCCCAAGGGCTGGAAATACAGGCCTATACCACCAAGCCAACTTGTTACAGTGAAGTTCAAAAGTACAGGAGTGGGCCGGGAGATGGCTTAGTAGAATAAGCGCTTCCATGGTAAACACAAGGACCTGAGTTCAATCCCTGGTTCTGCCAAAAAAAAAAAAAAAAAGTACAGATATGATTCACATTATGTTTCTTTTGGACAGCAGAGCTGGGTCCTCACCTGGGTACCGTTGACATTTGGGGCAGAAAACTCTTCCTTCTAGGCCTGTCTTGGGCGCTGTAGGATGTTTTTCAGTATCCCTGGAATCTAGCTGGAAGAGGCCAGTCACATTTTCACCTGAGTTTTGTTTTCTTGAGTTGAGATAGGGTCTTTCCATGTAGCTCAGGCTAGCCTCGAATTTGTGACGTTCCTACCTCAGCCTCCTGAGTGCTGAAATGACAGTGTGCCACCATGCATGAAAGGTATCTCCAAGCCTTTGTTGGGTGGAGAGGTGACAGAAGTCACCACTGGAGATCTGGCCTGTACTGGAATAGTGCATTCGTGCTGTGAATGCTAGGTGCAGGCTTTGGGACCAAGAGCAGAGTCCTGGAGGGAGCGACTCTGGGCCTGCCCCGCATCTGCTCCAGCTATAGTTGCTTTGGTCCCTGACACCAAAGGGACCATCTTCTTGTGTGACCTGGAGGCCCTCCGTGGCATGTCAACCAGGAGAGTGTATTTGAGTCCTTGTTCTGTGACACTAGAACTGGAAGACACCTTCAAACACAGTACCAGGTGTCTTGGTTACTCAGGATCTCATCAGTCACACGCTGTCCCTGGGGCTTGGGTGCCACCATGAATTTGTGACATTCTTTAACCAGTGCTGCGCAATCTCTCCCCAGTCTGCAACCATCCCTCTGTTCATGAAGAACAAAGATGTCGCTGCAGAAGCGGTGAGTGCTGTCCCAGCCTGTCCCATGGTCCCTTGCAGGGAACTGGGGGTGGGGAGCAAACTGAAACCTCTCCGTTGCAGATCACAGGTAGTGGCAAAACCCTTGCCTTTGTCATCCCCATCCTGGAGATTCTTCTGAGAAGGGAAGACAAGCTAAAGAAGAGTCAGGTGAGTCACTAAGCTGATTGTCCCTTGGTCATCAGAGGGTTCACAGTTGGGCCAGGAGCCCCTCAAAACTGAAAAAAGTAAACGGTCGAGTCTCATTATTAGTGGGTTTTGTGTTTCCACGTCAGCCCGTGCTCTTGTGGGGACCCTTCTCACAGTCTGCTTAGTGCATAGCTTTTTATATTTCTAGGGCTTTTCCTGCTGATTTTCCTGTTGAAATTGCCCCCCTCATGTTGTTTGTACCGAAAGTGTGTTAGATAAACTTCTTTCAGGTCCAAAGAGTCATACTGCTGTTGGTCCTAAGTTCAGTGGTCACAAATCAGTGGTAAACAGTAAATAAGGTGTGTTTAAACCAAACCTCTGTAAAACAGGGCACCGATTAATTGATGAAGATATGCCCAGAGACCTGCAGAAACTGGATCTCGTGCTTCCTGTAGGGGCAGCAGTTCTAAGCTCACTATTCAGTGGTCACATGCATAATGACAGGTGATAGGAATTCAGAGCAGCTGATGACTGCTGCAGCCTGGTGCTCTGAGAAAGCCCAGCAAGTGCTGTTTCCCTGGACACCAGTCCTCCAGAGAGGGGTGCGGGCTTGTGCTGTGTCCCCCACCCCACTGCCACACTTCCCTTCCCTGTGGGTAGGTGGGCGCCATCATCATCACCCCTACGCGCGAGCTGGCCATTCAGATCGATGAGGTCCTGACGCATTTCACGAAGCCCTTCCCCCAGCTCAGGTGAGTTGGGTGCTGGTCCCCACTGCCCTGGGCCACTGTCCAGCCTGACTTGCTCACAGTTCCCTTCCTATTTTAGCCAGATTCTTTGGATCGGAGGCAGAAACCCTGGAGAAGATGTTGAGAGGTTCAAGCAACAAGGGTGAGCTTGCTTCCTCTGCCTCCTTGCTGGCTTTGCCGTGGGCTCAGAACCCTAGATGTGGGATGGGCCAGCACGGGGACATCTCAGGGCTGTCCCCCAAGGCATGTCCTTCAGGCTGCCCCTGCTCCCAGGATCACTGCTGGCTGCTTTCCGCTGCCAGGTGCACGTTTCCCAGCTGCTCTTCTGGTTTGGGAACCCAGCCCTGACCCCGCAGCCCCCACAGCAGCATGCTGTGCCCTGGCCTCTTCCTCCTCACTGGGATTAGATGGCTTTGAGGACTATGAGAATTGATTTTTAGGGAGTCGGGGGTACTAGGAATCACACTCAGGACCTACCCTTGCCAGGCGGGTGCTGCACCACTCAGCTAAATCTCTGGCTTAAACGTGATATGGCATCAGTACTCCCAAGTTGCAGATCGCGTGGCAAATGTTACGTTTCTCCCCAAAGAGGGAACATCATCGTGGCGACACCGGGCCGCCTGGAGGACATGTTCCGCAGGAAGGCGGAGGGCTTGGATCTGGCCAGCTGCGTGCGGGCCCTGGATGTCCTGGTGCTGGATGAAGCTGACAGACTTCTGGACATGGGATTTGAGGCCAGGTACTGGATTTCAGGCTCCGTGGATGTGGGCCAGTGGTGCTGGCAGAGAAAGCAAAATGAGCCCCTGTACTGCTTCAGGACTACTTTCATTCCACACTCATTGGAGTTTCAGATCATTAGGCAGCTCAGGCCTTCAGACTCCGTCATCATTTGCTTCCAATTCTAGCTTTTTTTTTTTTTTCTTCTTCTTTTTTGGCGGTACCAGGGATCAAACTCATGATCTTATGCTTGCCAGGCAGTTGCTTATTCCACTGAGCTGTCTCTCTGGCCCTCTAGTTTTGATCTTAAAATGTGTTTTCCTTTAAGTTTTTGTTGTTTATTATTTATTTACTTTTCTGTATTTTAGGGAAGCGTCTACAGGGTGTTCAGGTACTAGATCGGACTCGGTGATCTGCCTGTTTACAGCCTCCTAAGAGCTGGGATTACAGTTGCATGCCACCACGCCCAGTCTTAATCGCTGTCTCAGCCTGCCCTGGGACGGGGCTGGCACAGCAGGCCCTGGGATTGAACCCATGGCCCCTGCACCTGCCTGTAGGCGCTTTAATCCACTGAGCCATCTCACCAGCCCCGTAAATTTTTGTTGTTTAATAAACAGTTTTTGGGGGGATCTCCTTCAGACACCATGCAATGGATTCACACAGCGTAAGGCACGGTGGGTTTAGTCTCAGAAGCTCGCTCTTGTGTTCACTTCTTTCAAGTCCTTTCCGCTACTGCACTTCCTGTAATTTCACTTCTACTACTGTTACACTATTTTGTTGATTTCTCTTTCCTTTTTTTCTTTTTTGAGACAGGGTCTTGGTTAGTAGTGCAGTCTGGCCTTGAACTCACTGTGCAGCCCAGGCTGGCCTAGAAAGCTCCACCAGCAGCTGGCATGTCCATGTGGGGCTGTGTTGAGTGCTGGTTGGCCAGGGCGTGAGCGCAGGCTTGTCTTTTCTCAGCATCAACACCATCCTGGAGTTCCTGCCGAAGCAGAGGAGAACAGGGCTTTTCTCGGCCACACAGACGCAGGAGGTAGAGAACCTGGTGCGCGCCGGGCTCCGCAACCCTGTGCGCATCTCAGTGAAGGAGAAGGGGGTGGCGGCCAGCAGCACCCAGAAGACACCCTCGCGGCTGCGGAACTACTACATGGTGGGTCTGGGGCGGCCGGTGTTCTCGGGGCCGCCTGGGGAGCACTGGGGAGTAGCAGAGCACTGAGGGACAGAGCTGGAAACATCTGAATGACAGATAAGCGATGTCTTAGGACAGCGACTGGGAACCTCTCAGCCCAGCAGACCAGACATTTGTATCATGTCATGATTCTATCTTTTTAAACCTTATTTATTTCTTTACTTGGCACAGGGTCTCACTGTGCAGCTTGGACTCCAAGCGAGCGTCCTGTTCTCAGCCTCCCAGGCACTGGGATTACAGGCGTGCGCCACCACACCTGGTTTGAGTGGTCAGCATGGTGCCGGGGCTGGCATGGCATGCAGTACTAGAGATCAAGCCCAGGTTCTTGTGCTTGCCAGGCAGGCGCTTAGGCCACCAAGCTGTCTCCCCAGCCCCTACACCTGCATCACGTGTGTGGAAGTAGGCAGTGCCATGGTCACTGAGAAGTCAGGTGGTGCTGGGGTGCAGTTTGACAGACCATGCAGGAGATGTGGCAGACGTTGTGTCTGACCTGCCCGCCCTCAAGCCATCTGGGTCTGTGGTGGCCAAATCCTTGCTGTCATTTCCTCTTGAGGCAGTGGGCAGGTGCGGGGGTTTGATGGCTCAGTCATGAGGCCAGCAGTGCCGTGTCCTCCTCCATTGCTGGGCCTGGCCAGGGCTCACGTGGCATTGAGACCTCCCCAACTCTGGGATGGGCTCTTTAGGCCCTGGACATGGCTGTGTGAAGCCCGGGCAGCACACCGGGGTGCTGTGGTGTGCATTGGCAGTGGAGGAGGCTGCTATCCTGGTCGTGTGGGAGCTTGAAGATCAGACATGGCCCCTTGGGTGCGTGCTGGGAGAGCACGTGGAAAGCCCGTGCACTTTTCTGAAGTGGGAGTTGTTCCCAGATCAGTCCCAGGGGAGGGAAGGGCTCAGCACACTGCGCAGTGTGGGGTTCTGGGTACTGATGGTGGCTCGTCCTGTGTGGAGTGAGCAGCTGCACTGTCAGCGCCTGTGCGTGCCACTTTCTGGGGTGGTCGGGGTGGTGCTCAGGACACAGTAAGTGCCCTGCACAGTCAGTGCTGAGACCCTGCAGGCGCCGCCGCGGCCTTCTGCTGTTGCCGTGCTTGTGTGAGTGCGCGAGGGCCGCTGCAAACGCAGCCTTCGTTCTGCCGGGGGCTGCTGCTGTGCCTGTGGTCTCTGTCAGGGATGGAGTGTGAGTGTGGGAGAAACACAGCAGGCTCTCTCTCGGGTCCTGGGGTGGCGACCTGCCTTTCCAGATGGTTGTGCTTGCCTCGGGTGGTGACCCTTGTTGTGAACCAGCCTTTGGTCTGAGGAGCTGAGGCCAGCAAGGTCACTGAGGAGTGTGGGATCAGAGTTTTATGACCTTGTGACTTAATTTACATTTACAGTCAGCAGCCAGGTACATTGATTATCAGTCTGTCCTGTTCTGGAGGACAGGATTTTGTGACATGGAAGCTGACACTGAAAAGAGCTGTGGGGATTACTGATTTTTAAAAATGTTTTAAAATTTTTCCTTTTTCCTTGTAGGTGTGTAAGGCAGATGAAAAGTTCAATCAGCTGATACATTTTCTTCGGAATCACAAACAGGAAAAACACCTGGTCTTTTTCAGGTAAACCCTCTGGATTCCAGTCGGGGGCGGTGGAGGGGGGCTGCAGTCTTGGGACCTTAGTTCCAGGCAGGGGAGCCTCAGGCTGTGTTGGCTGTGGTTACTGAAGGCCCAGCTCCTGTGGCCCAGAGGAGAGGGCTTTGGATTCACTGTTGCTGCGTCTCTGCGGCAGCCTCAGCCCTGCTGTGTGTCTCTGTACTCCCAGGAGCCGCCTGGTGTCCACATAGAAGGCAGGTGATGGGGGAGCTGGGAGGATGTTGCTAGCTGTGTCTCTGCCTTTTTGATAGAAGGCAAAAAGCTGTCTCTGGAGCTGTCTTGCACTTGCCAACTTCAGCTGAAGGAGGTGGTTGGGCCACCCTCCACATCTGCCTTGTATGGTTTCCTGTGGTCACAAAGCGAGGAGCATCATGCACATTCTTGGGCTGGGTTGTTCCCCCTCCTCCAGATCCATCTGGTGCCCTTTTGTTGTTGTTGTTGTTGCTGTCTTTGAGACAGGGTCTATGCAGTGCAGGCTGCTCTTGAGCTCACTTTGTAGCTCAGGCTGGTCCCAAACTCACAACGATCCTCCTGCCTTAGCCTCCTGAGTGCTGGGATTAAAGGCGTGCGCCACCATGCCTGGCACCTGTGTTGATTTTTGGCACTGTCAGGTTTTTTATGTGTATTCCCATCCACCTGTCTACCAGTAAAATGCACTAGCTGTGTGGGCCCTGACCCCCAGGAAGAAGGAAAAGTAGGCGACTCACAGGTGTGCACGCACGCACACACAGATGAAGCAAAGGCCGCACAATTGCGCTGTGCTTGAGGGGTGCATTCTGTTGTTTTCTGTTATACTGAACTGTTGAAAGGCCGGCTGAGACTATGAAACTGATTTCCAAGCCCTTCAGACTGCTTTTAAGACCTGGGCTGTCAGGGGATATTGCATTATGTACTGCGAACAAGTACTTAGAAAAAGAACTAAGGGTTGTGGCCACCACCTTAATGTATGCTCACTGTCTTGCGGAAAACAGCAAAGAATAACAGTCGTCTGCCCAGCACAGGAGTCGGGTTTGGAATCCCTCAGCCTGTGGTGGGGACTCACATTCCCCCTCGGTGTGCTTCGTTTCCTTCAACTGCAGAAGGGTGTGGCTTCCTTCTGCTGTAGATTTAGGAACAGGTTGCCAGGTAAACTGCTCAGATATCTAAAGCAAAGCTGAGTGCCCCGACCTGGGCCATTTCTCCAGGAGTCTCTGCGAGGTGACCTTGCTCCAGCCCTCCTGTGCCTTTGGTGGAATCACCCCATTGGAGGTCTGGGAGAGAGGATGTACTTGGTCAGACCTCTTATGAGTCCTGCTAATTGAGCAAAGAGTGTTTTTCCATGAGAAAAGCAGGAATATTCTTGACATCTTTTAGCTTTTTGAGATAGGATCTCACTACATAGGTCAGGCTGGATTACAGGCATGTGCCACCGCACCCAGGCGAATCCTTTAGACAGTGGCACCTCCTCAGAGTTTTGACTCATGCTTAAGGGATTTTGCCAAAAGCTTGGCCTTTCATTGGCTGAGAGGATCTCTGGCTTGGAGCTTAGCTATGGCTGTCTCTGTGGTCATTCCACCCCATCCCACTCCTTTCTCCCAAGAGGCTCTGCCATCAGTCCTCGCCTGCACCTGTTGCTGGCTGCCCCTTCCCAGCTGTAGGACTGAGCCCTGTCCTCCTGCAGCACTTGCGCCTGTGTCGAGTACTACGGGAAGGCCCTGGAGGCCCTGGTGAAGGGCGTGAGGATCATGTGCATTCATGGGAAGATGAAGTACAAGCGCAATAAGATTTTCCTGGACTTTCGCAAGTTGCAGAGGTGAGTGGCTTCGCTTGAGACACTGCCCCTTTTCTGGTGCCAGATGGGCCATGTCCCCGAGGAGCCTCCTTTACCTCACGCCCTCTTTCGCGTTGTCTCTGTAGGAGTGGAGCCCCCAGTCCCACTGTAGCACGCTGTGCTCTGGGCCACTTCTGTCACTGTAGATCTTTTGAGGACAGGAGCACATGGCTCTGCGGTCCGGCCAGTGGAGGTTTTGGTCAGTGTGTGCCCCTGGATGAAACCATCTCTAGGTGGCCATGCAGCAGGGAACTGGGGGTACTGGTGACCACAGCTTGTTTTTGGTTGTTAAAATAATCATTTCCTACTAATCACAATTTGGTCACACAGAAGGCCTCTGGGGGATCCAGTGACACAGATAGCTGTGTTTCCTCAGGCACATAATGAAAGCAAAGTTAGGCCTGCCACCGCTCCGTTGTTTGTCCAGTGGAAACACATGAATTAAAACATCTTTCACTGTCTCCTGCACTGCCCGCTTAGTGGGGAACTTGCAAAGCCTTTGAGATTCTTGGGACAGTACAAAAACGGAAATATTGCCATCAGTCAGAACGGAGCCTTGCCGCAGCAGGGACCTCGAAGGGCACAGAGGTGGCGCCCTCCTAGTCAGCTGCTTTCTCCTCTTGCAGCGGGGTTTTGGTGTGCACCGATGTGATGGCCCGGGGAATCGACGTTCCGGAGGTCCACTGGGTTTTGCAGTATGACCCTCCCAGCAATGCGAGGTAGGTGCCAGGGCGAGGGGCCCAGGTCGATAGGAAGGTAGCAACCTAGATTGTTCAAAGCACTGCTTTCCATGGTGAAAGTAGGGAACAGGCCAGTTCCAGGGGTGGGAGGGTCCTATTGCAGCAATAAAAGCTACTTCCAGAAACTCAAAGTTGCTGCAGAAATGGACAATAGATGCTTAGATGAAAACAAATAAGATGCTAGATGTGGAAATTGCACTGATTTTCCCCAAAGAAAGCACATGTTCCTAAGATGGGTATCTTAGTTCCTCTTCTCTAGTTGCTGGGACAAATACCCAACACTCAAAATGAGGGAAGGAAAGGGTTTTTTTTGGTGGAACCAGGGATTGAACTCAGGCCCTTGCGCTTGCCAGGGAAGCGCTTATTCTACTGAGCCATCTCCCCGGCCCCTGGAAAGGTTTATTTAGCTCAGTTACTGGAGGTTTCAAGACACTGGAGGAGAGGCTGGGGCGCTGCCTGTCTAGGACAACCCACTCCACCTCTCTGAGAAAGCACAAACTAGCCAGTTTAACAGGTCATGCCTCTCTGGCTCCGCCCCTCGGGCCCACCCTGGTCCTCTGGCCACGCCCCTGGAGCCACACGCTGCCCCTCAAAAGGTGACTGCCACATGATTTACATGAGGCTTTGGGGGACAACTAGATACAAGCCATAACAGTGGGCTTCCAAATGTAGGGGAGTACCTGTGTGCCCCCCTGCCCTGGTAATGAGCACTTATGAGGTCCTTTGTTTTTCTCTTTTTTTTTTTTTTTTTTTTTTTTGGGCGGAACCGGAGATTGAAAGGTCCTTTGTTTTTATCTTTCCATTGTTCTTGTCTGATTAGAGAAAGGTGGATGGCACTCAGGCTGGACTCTTGACTTGCAAATAAACAGCTTTCCTGGAGTCCTGTCTGTCCCCAGTGTCTGTTTCTTGCAGCTGTCCTGTTTCTCCTTCTGGGCGGTGGCTGGGGCAGCAGTTAGCTGAGGGGCTGGTGGTCCCACAGGCGCTGGCCCCACCTGCCCATGTTCCCACAGCGCCTTCGTGCATCGCTGTGGCCGCACAGCCCGTATAGGCCACAGCGGCAGTGCCCTCGTGTTTCTGCTGCCCATGGAGGAGGCCTACGTCAGTTTCCTCGCCATCAACCAAAGAGTAAGGCTCCTCGCCCCGCATGGAACAGCCCTTCCTTCTCCAGCTGTTGGGATGGCTCACTGAGGTGCACGGCCCTAGGTGGCAGCTGCTGCGGGGCCAGGTGAGGGTCATGCTGATAAATTTTGGTACCAGGGATCAGACTCTGGACCTTGCACTTGCCAGGCAGGCACTTATGCTGCTGAGCTATTTCCCTGGCCCGAGAAACTGCATTTTCAAGTTTTATTTAAAATACTTTAAGGGAAATGCTAGGGCTGGGTATGGGCTTTGTTTTGCCGTTTTCTGGGTGCAGGCCAGGCAGGGCATGCTGGGGGTTTGCACGGGGTGTGGGAGAGGAAGGTAGCGAATGTGTGCCCTGTGCAGTGCCCACTGCAGGAGACGCGGCCCCAGGGGAACGTGGTGGACCTGCTGCCAAAGCTCAAGGCGCTGGCCCTGGCTGACAGAGCCATGTTTGAGAAGGGCATGCGGGCTTTCGTGTCCCACGTCCAGGCCTACGCCAAGCACGAGTGCAGTCTCATCTTCCGGCTGAAGGGTGAGTCAGAGTTTGCCTCTCGTGGCTGTTCAAGGTAGCGTTCACTGATGTTCTTAAACATTTTCAGAGGATGTTTTCCCAAGCTTTGAGTTGACACAGACTGACCAGTGGCTGCTGGTTCCTTTTTACTTGGTAGAAATGGAATTAATTTTAGTATTAAAACAAACCCATAAAGTTAGAAAAGATTCAATTTTGAGGAACCTACCACTGTGGATTCCTGCACCATCTTTCGGGTGTGCTAACTCTGATATTTTGGTTTAATTAGATCTTGATTTTGCTAGTCTTGCTCGAGGTTTTGCGCTGCTGAGGATGCCCAGGATGCCAGAGCTCAAAGGCAAGCAGTTTCCAGATTTCGTGCCTGTGGATGTTAACACAGACATGATTCCATTTAAAGACAAAGCCAGGGAGAAGCAGAGGCAGAAACTACTGGAGCAGCAAGGAAAAGATAAAACAGAAAATGAAGGGAGAAGGAAATTCATAAGAAATAAAGCTTGGTCAAAGCAGAAAGCCAAAAAGGAAAGGAAGAAAAAAATGAATGAGAAAAGAAAAAGAGAAGAGGTAAACTTCGCAGTTTTTTTTGGTTAAATTCAGAACAAGTTGGGGGTGGTGCATACCTATCATCCCAGCACTCAGGAGGCTGAGACAGGATAATCACTGTGAGTTCAAGGCCAGCCTGGGCTACATAGCAAATTCAAGGCCAGCCTGAACTGCATAGCGAGACCCTGTCTCAAAATAAAAAAACAACAGACATTACTGAAGCACGGTTCATGAGCATGCTGATTGGGTGTTCATGCCTTATGCATGAGGTGTGCTTCCCTCGAACCTTGTTATGACGTGGGCACATTACCCGTCTGACATGTAACAAAAAAAAAAAAAAAAAAAAATTACTGAAGTAGATAGAATCTTGGAGTAGGGAAGGAAATCCTGCAGGATTTCCGTATTGTGCTGACGGACGGGTGGGGCAACCCCAGGGGCTGGGCCATGGCTAGATTGAGGAACCGGACCGTGCTGCTGCAGCACCGGTGCACGGTGGCGAGATTCAGTCTGTTGGCTTCTCCTGCACACAGGGATCTGACGTCGAAGAGGAGGACATGGAGGAACTTCTTAATGACACAAGACTTTTGAAAAGGCTTAAGAAAGGCAAAATTACTGAAGATGAATTTGAGAAGAGCTTGCTGATGAGCCGCAAAAGAGCAACCAGCACAGCAGAGCCTGGCCTGTCCGAGGATGACTGCTGATCCCAGTGCCGTGGGCTTTGATGCGGACCAGAGCTTCAGGAGACAGCGGAGAGCAGCAGCCCCTGCAGACGGGCCACAGCACCTCTACCTGGGTGACTGCTGTATAAAACTGTCAGATCTGAGGACAGCTGAGGAGGAGATGGAAAGTGACCGATGGTCACCTAATTTTTTTCTATTTTTTTATTTTTGTTTTGTTTTAGGGAAGGGTGTGCAGGATATTGAGGGTCTCACTACTAATCGGACTCATAGTGATCCACCTGTTTACAGCCTCCCAAGAGCTGGGATTACAGGCGCGGGCCACCACGTGGACCCAGTCTCTGGTCACCTAAATTAAAGGGCACTTTTCCCATGATTTCCTTACGCCATTCCACGTAAGATACTGCCATATACTAATCTCCTGGGCCTCACTTGACCCTCAGCCCCCTGCACAAAACACCTACAGAGTAGCGCACATGCAAGGTTTTGTGTTTTCCTTTCCTTGAGAGTTTGCTGTGCAGTTCAGGCTGACTTTGAGTTCGCTGTGTAGCCATGCTGGCTTTGAACTGATAGTGATCCTCCTGCCTCAGCCTCTGGAATGCTGGGATGATAGGTGTGTGCCACCACACCCGGCCAGGGGAACGTTGTGGACTGCCCCAGCGCAGTCCTCCTGGGGATGAACCACACACCTTCCTATGCACGGCCCAATGGAGGCCGCTGGTGAGTGTTTGTACCAAGGCCAACGTCTAGAGCCTGGAGAGAGCTCAGTACTGAGTTGACACTGTAGCAAATCCTTCCATACAATTTATTTGTAAAGATAATCTGTTCACAAGTATAATTTTAAAAAGGTGTTGAGGACCCAACCTAAAGATAGGAAATTCCTATCTTTTACAGACACAGTCTAGGTTTCCAAGTACTCCTGGAGGAGCAGTGAACCTCGCCCTGCAGGCCTCGCGTGTCTCACAGCCTGCATTGTGGCTGGCCCTGCTGCAGGCTCCTCGAGGCTCGTCTCCTGCCTTCACGTGAGGCACAAGTGTAGGCCCCTGGCCAGCTGCTGTTACTGCGCCAGAGGTGCCGACTGTGGAGGGGGCACCTGCCTGCAGCGCGTCACTTCTGTGGACACTTTAAGCTAGTGAAATGTGCTGGGGGACACACAGGCTTTTGTCAGCCAGGGAGTCTACAGTCTAATGGGTTTCTCGAAATGGACAGTAACTGCAAGTTTATGGAAATTAAGCAAGTTTAGGTTTGGTTTTAGAACAAATCTTAGGTGGGACCGAGCTGTGAATAAAAGATACTCCAGTATTAATGATGTAGAAACTGTCCACAATGTCTGTTAAAAATGAGCCAGTTTGGCTGGGTGGCAGGGCGCAGCTAGAGGTAGAGCTTGATGAGCTCGTCGCTGACCGCCGAGGGCGTGAGCACACCCAGGTCTGTGAACAGCAGGGTGATCAGGGAAGGGGAGGTGTAGTCCACCCACGGGTGCTCTTCCTTCAGGTCCTGCTCGGCTTGCACAGACTTCAGGGTGTCTGCCTTGTACTGCAGAGAGAAGAAGCCTGCGTCGACTGCTCTGGTCCCACCGGGCAGGGCCTGGCCCCGGCCACAGAGTGGGGAGGTAGCTGCTGTGGGAGAGTACCCAGCCTCTGGCCACATGGCAGATGCAGCTGAGGACACAGCAGAGCTGGTGCCCCCTGGAGTGCCCCTGGACCTGGAGAGCCCTTTGTGTGCCAGATGCTAGGCCACACCCTTTGTGTAGACACAGGCCTCACGTCAGATGTGACCCCATGCTACAGCTAAGGAACCTCAGGTTCAATGGACACTGACAAGACAGGGCTGTGATCAGTTTGTGGTGGTGGCATTGGGTGCCGAGCCCAGTCAGCTGGTGACAAAGCAGGGACTGAATCACCAACCTCCATATCTCACACAGCATGCAAAGGGTGCTGCTCTTATCATGAGGAACTTATCCCATGTGTGGCCGAAAATGGCAGTAGGAAATGAACTTTCTGAGGACTGCAGTTCTGCAGGGACTCAGCACTACTGCCTGAGTTGAACTTGCCTTGAACTTATCGGGCACGTCCTGCTGGTTCAGTGGGAAGAGCCGCACGAACTTGAAGCTTTCTGCAACCACATAGAAGGGCTTGTTCTGTGCCTTGGCGCACACGGCCATTTGGTTGGTCCCAATCTTGTTAATGATGCCTCCGTTCTCAACCACACCTTCTGCGCCCACGATGACCAGATCTGCCTTCTCCATGATGTAGCCAACAGCAGCATCCAGCACCACAGTGACAGGGACATTGAGGTGGCAGAGGGCTTTAGCCATTTTCTTACCTGACAGGTCGGGCTGGGACTCTGTGATGTACACGTGGAAGCGCTTCTTGGCTGCCACAGCTGCTTCCAGGACTCGCAGGACCACTCTGGAGTA